GGCTCATCTCTGGGCGCTCATGTAGAGACGGGAAAATTTCCTCTTCAATTTACGTCGCTCTCTGGAAAATATCCTCACCTTCGGAAAATTTGTGTTAATTTGTTTCTCAGAACAATACATTGTCTGCGTTCAACTCATCGTACCTTATCGCAACTTTGGCAAATTGTTTCGGAAAATTGTTTTCTAGTTATGTCAGCGTCGGTCCGGTCAACAATGTTGAAATGAGGGAGTACACTAGTCCATGTTGATCATAGTGCAATTGATGGGCTTGCAGTTTTTCGTTTTGCATGAACAGAGATATGCGCAGTTAACGAAAAAAGTGAGTCAGGAGACAGACAGGGTGGTTATTTACGACAAATAATGCAATCAAGTTATCATGGCAAAAATTGTATTATTTTAGTTTGACATGGCTAAAAAGATTTTCTGCCAAACTTTATCATCCAGGTGCAAAGTTCTGTGCGTTTGAATCACAATAACACTGTTTAGATTACCGATGCGCTTGAAATTATTTGTGGCCCTACGTGCATCCATCCACACTGTTGTAAATGGCTGGTTCCTATGTTGTTGCGATATAGATTAGGCAAAATCCACCCACGTCCGCTACACGTACACAAGAGGCGCACACTGAAAGCCTCAAAATATTCACGCAAGCGCTATTCACACAATTTGTAATGTCACATGTAAAGTAGCACAAATTGGAGCGTAGGGATCAAAATAAATCTGCAAAAGTGATGTGAGTATATCATGCCACAACTACGTGATTCACTTTACAGTGGCGGAACCATTGTCAAATATCCGTGGTAACTTTGAAGAGCTTTGCGATTTTTCCGTTTGTATGAAGTGATACGCCCTAATCAGATGCTAAATGTATCATTCCTTGACGTCAAAGTTGTCATTTCTACATGCTAAATAATTAAAAACATGCAACCTCTAATCTCAAACGACATTGCGTTTTGTTTTAGAGGATGAGTATGCTGTTCGATGAGAACGTAAAATGCTGGCGTGTGTTCTACCACTATGTTGCATAAGACAAGGCTGCGTATATGGAGGAAAATTGGACGGCCATATTCAAGGCTCTGAAGAATGAAGCCATCAATACCCAATCAGGAATCAAACAACAGGCTCCTTTCGCCGCATTTTCCCCAAACCAGACAAATGTTAAATTTTTCGGAATGCACACGGAATTATCCCGAGCCAGGGTATAAATTATCGCTTCAATTATTGGTATCTTTAGCTCACATCGCTGTTTCCAAGCCAGCAGCCATTGGCTGAGGAGGTGCGCCGGGGAACGCAGAAAAGAATGAGCGCGAAAGCGGACACCCGAGGGCGCATATTACAAGGTAATTTATTAAAAAGACTATTCTCTTTATTATCCCTTTAAAGCGTGTTGGCGATCCTGATTTGCTATTCATCAAATTTCGATCATACATTTCGCCTTTTAGGCAACTAATAAGTTCTTGAAGTTTATGAATTTGGTGAGCACATAAGGCTTCGAAAATCATTTCTTTTCGAAGGGCGTGAAATTGCTCCACTAGATATCTTTGCGTAATGCCGAAAATTCATGGCATTTGTATATAGTGATTGGGGATATTTATTGCATTTCAGAATTGCTATTTTATGAATTTTGCGGTCTGTCTGTTGTACCACACTGAAAAACGCTTTCAAGCAACGCGTGGTTTCAATTTTGTCGGTGGATTTCACATGAAACAATCTAGCTGGTAGTTGAATAATTTCTGGTAAGGAATATTTGTGGACAGTTTATTGGCACATGCCAAGGGGACTTCTTTAGAGTTTATCGTAAGGATCTTGATCCAACATTCGGACTAACGCGTGGATAAGCGTGGCCAAGACATGTGCTTCATCACATAATCTGACAAAAATCGTCGCATGGACTGTTTAGACGTGTGCCATTTTTTCCTTCAAAAAGAAGTGGTCACTATTTTTTACGGGCGATTGTGTAAGCAAACATATATCAGTCCCGCAATTATTGTGTTTATTAATTATTGTTTTAGCGGTTAATTGCTTCAAAACGACTTGATTGACGTCTACATATATACACATAAGTATACATATGCACATTTCAAAAGTTTAAAATTGTCCCATTCATTTTTTATATAAAGACACGCCATCATGGATAAACCGACTTCAAGTTTACTAAAGCTACTGATTTTGAAGGGCCAAATTATTTTCCGATATGTGGTGAGCGTAACCTTTCCAAGCCATTCACCCTGTATTTAACGTCTTAAAATGCCTGCGCAAATATTTTAGAATAGTTCCATGTCTACATTTGGCTGAATCTTTGAATATATCCGACAACATCCTGGCATGCAAATAACCATAGGCGTGTAAAAATGCAGTGATTGCCTGTCGAAGTAGGCCGAAGTTCCGTCATTTTTGTCAAGAATAACATTCAAAAAACTCTCCCAAATTATCGTTTATATTGATGACACAAGGAGGGAAATTCCACTGGGGAATAAAAAATGAAGTGGCTATTGCTTTGAAACCCTAAGCAACATAATTGAGGTGCAATCTTCAAACTTTTAAACCAGTGCAGATTTTACACACCTGCAAACTATTTAAGCATTTGAAGTTTTTTCTAGGATACTTGATTTTTCTCGCGGAACATTTCATTATGATTTCTTAGTCATAGCCTGATAGATCAGAATTATGCGTCACAAATTATCAAACTACAGCGCCGTCAGTTGTGTGCTAAGAATAAACTGTGCGCATTCAAATTACTGGAAAAATCTTGTTCAAAAACAACGTTTTTCGCTTGAGCCACGAGTGTCACACTAATTTGCTACAAACTATTCCCATGGAGTCACAAATGTCTTGAGATAACTTCAACCAGCAACCTCAACAGGGTTTAGTTAGTCGATAGTCCTTCCTAGGGGAAAACAGTCCATTCAGTGATGGATTACAAAAGCAAATTCAGATGACCTGTTTCACCAAGTGCCCCTTCAGTGACAAAATAGAACCCGTGACAGTTTAAGTAGTATTTTCCGGCAACCCAAGGGAAGAATGCACCGATAATCTTTCGTATCTCTTGGTTTACGAGAAGCGAATTGTCGATAGTTCGCTACTAACAAAATGCGTCTTTTCCGCAAACTCCTCAATCGCAAATTAACTTTGCTACAAGAACACATGGTAAATATCAAACTGTTTAGCTCCGTGTAAGTGCGTTATTGATTGCCCAATAAATCCTTCCGCGGACTAGAAATTCCCAAATAAAGAAGCACAGTTTGACGGCTGCGTCTGATGGTTTGAAGAATTATAAAAATCTCTCCTGATTCACCATGTGTCATGCACGCACGGTTTTAACTCATTGGTGGAAGTGGAGGGTTAAACTTGAGCTGATGTCGCAATCATTCAACTAACCATTTTATTACAAATATTATCACTGATATAATTATTTATCGTAAAATTTGTGGGCATACTGGAATATTTCAAGGAGATATAAGAGATGATATCAGGGGATTTTGCCCGAGGGAAATCGTGAGCCTCACCAAACTTAAAAGTTTGACTTCTTTCAGCCCGCTGCCTTCGTAGTTTTCATGCAATCACTTAACACAAATAATCATGGCTTGAATAATGTTTAAGCTCTTTCTGCGCCAGATGTTTTGAGCTAAGCGTTGGGACTACTCAAGAAGATTATACAAACACATGTACATTTTGTGAAACTATTGAAGGATGATCGAAATGCCACTTGTGTACACACCTTGCAAAGACACTTTCCCAACGCCACACTAATTACGTTTTCCTTTGGTTCAGATTACATGCAGTGTTTGTAGTATTTCGTCTGTTCAATTCTAATAATTTGCCAGTGACATTCCGCACCTAAATGTCAGGACCGTCATCATTGTTGGTTCAAGATTTTTAATCGGTACAATTTTTGATTTGTTTTAGCTTTATTTTTTAGTATTACTACTAAAATTCCTCCTGCAAAAGTTACGTTTGAAAGCGTTTCCATCTTCCACTTCACATTACGTTTCATCTCCCATAATTAAGGCAGCAAGTTGTCATTTTAGGGAGTAATCCTTCGAAGTTATATTGACGAAGCAGGCTCATCAGCACCCGTGGTTCCACACTACTTCAATATATTTTATTTAAATTGGAAGCATCGATTCGAAGTTCCACTTCATAAATATTTTGGAAGAGTCTTAACTATTGCTTGCGCAACATATCAGGTTCTGCTTCACTTATTCCAAGCGCGATCATTGGGCATCATTTTTTTCAGCGGTACATATGAAAAAAGTCTTTATTTTAGGCACCCGGAGGGGTACATTAATCAAAATGCTATTTATTAAATACCGACTCCTACTAGAACAATACCAAATGCGTGAATGAAAGAGTCAGCTGCGGTTGTCACTACCAAATCTTGGTCAACATCTTAATATTAGTCGATTTCATTGTAGATTCTGCGAACCAAGGTATAAATCCCCGCAAATTCACAATTCTCAAAATACTCAGAGTTTCATGCTGGACAAGAATTTTTGTTATGTTCAAACTCAGGATAGGCGTACTACACAACCAGTGGATTGCACACATTTTTGCACGCGCGAAGATGCATTAAACGTCAGGGTGGCGGAATAAGCAAAATCCTGTTGAACACCGAGGACGGAAATTTCACGTAGATTGACCTTCGTCCGACCGAAGCATTTTCCACCTTATTTATTGACTTTGCGGTTTTTGATTTATCCATGTAACTCGGGAACATCATTTAACAAAAAATAGCCTCAGTTTTACCTGTGATTAATCGCCCGTTTCAAAAAGCATTTACTTGACTGCTTACAATTCACCAAAGGTAATGTGGTCTCTACAAACGTGTTGTCATTCCCCGGTTATTTTATATACACAAAAATTACTGCAGTTTAAGTTGTCACTCTCAAGCTGTAGTTGATGTTGTGTATCACTTTCAGTTTGGATTTTAGGGGAGAGAATAATGACCTATTTCGACAATACCCGGGTTCAATTTCCACAAGTAGACTTTATCTGAATCACGTTCAACGGTTGGATAATTATTTATTTATTACAAGGTTTTTCCTTCCAAAGTAATGATCGCTTCCAGCCAAATTCGTTTAGCTACATCCTAATGCCTAAGTTTATTTGCCTAACAGTGATAACAGCTCATTGGCCAATATTATCATGCGGATCATGGAGAGTTTTCACGCTTTTCATCACATCAGGTGATCACAACCATTTACGAGGTGAACAATAACGATTACAAGATACTCTTTGGAAGTTGACTTACCTGAACTCTGAACAAAAAGAAAGAGGTTCGCGGTGACAACAACTAAGACATTCATTGCCGTGAAGTTCGTGAATAAATGACTAATTATGTCTTCCTCATTATTTATACACATTCAGCTCGTATTTCATATCACCAGGTGTAAACCAAATCCCGAAAATTCCTTGCACCAAACCACACAGAAGTTGTGTCTGTACCTCAGCGTTTTCTTTGTAAGTCTCACGCGATTATTGTGTGGCTTACAGAGGAATCCGCTTGAAGTCTGTTCCTTGGTGTTTCGGCGCAACTACGTAGAACTGACAACCACTGACAATGTGTGCTTGCATTATCAAGCACAGCCTTGAGCAGTTACTAATCTCGACTACGCACGCAATGTACATCAGCAAATTTCAACTATTGATCGTTTTTGATGCATTGAGTAGTTAGGGAAAACACACACACACGACTCGCAAACAAACTTTCGTGGAACTGGGCAGTTTCAACAGGATAATGGAAACTTCTTACCATGACCAACAATGAAAAATGGGCTATGAGTAAACTGGACTGACTCTTAACAAAGTGTGTTGAATGCATCAATTTTCACGAAAATTTGTTATCGTAATTAAACAATTAGAAAAAACGTATATTTGTGTATGCTTTCACTTGTCTGAATCGAATATCGTGGTTGACACACAGCGATGAAACGCCAAGATTTTCAAGCCAGTCTCTCACATTTGAAGCCACAAATCCCCCGATTTCCCTGTTTACACACTCTTGGTGTTCTTTTTATTAGGAGAAGAATGGCGTTTATTCAAGGTTACTTTTCAACATCTTTTCAACCTTTTAGAATTTACCCAAAAGTACAGCATTTTGGCGAGATTCCTTGTATCTTTTTGAAAATTACAGAATCCAACTTCGGATGAAACCACCTGGCAAAAATTTGAAATCTCTAATGTGCGTTTTAGTTAGCTGGTTGCTTTTTGTAACAGTTTTTGCTAAGAAGTTAAGCGAGTGCTGCTGATTATTGGTGAAGAACATCACACCATGAATATTACATACGTCGACAAAAAACCTGATGACTGTATACGTGTTCTTGTCAAAAAAGACGGACGAAAGATTTTAGCGGTGATTACCGCTTTTACAACGTAGAAATACCTATTTTTCCAGCTCACAAAACCATTTCTTTATAAAGGTGCATATTTAGACTGTGTCTATTAAGGCATAGTACTTCCTGAATACACGGCATAATTAACGGGATCCCGTAAAGAATCGAAACCATTGAGTGGCGCGAGTAACAGACTGGTGAGTACAAAATATGCACCTAACTTCACCAGTTTACTACGTTACTATCCCAGGCATCAAATGGTCAATTTGAACATGTAAGCAGGGAAGGAACACACGATTAAAGCCAATCATGAGATGTAATTTGATGTCACTTTGATTTTCATTTTGATGACAGGTCACCCACCTGGCCTCTTAAATTCTTGTGTTCTCAAATAAAAAACGATTTGCAGACAACACATCAGCGTCCCTGATTGAAAGTTAAATGTAACATCCAAACCTGACCCCGAAGGCTCCAGGCGACAATGTTGTCCGAAATGTCTGGTTTCATTTCAAGCTTTTTTTCAGAAAAAGGATTGGTTGGGACAACAACCTGAAGACATGTTTCGAAGAATATTAATTTAAATACACAGGCAAACGACGCTGATATCTGGACCACTGAGAGCAGTGCTGCATAATCGGGTAAATCAGTGCATCTCATGGAAACCCAAGGCGGGAGTTCAGGTGCAAAAACAATGGTTATGTAGTATAACAATAAAAAATTCGGATAACAAAAGGGTAAAAATTGCTGAACGAGCAATTTATTACCTGACGATTCTCCGCTTCGCCACCCGCGTTCAAGAATCTGATTACTGGGAAAAATTTGAGATTATTTCATCATTCTATCATTTTGTTTGCGTGGGCATTCGCATGTTGAAGCTCTAGTGTATGCAGACATTCAGCATTAATATATTACGGTGTAAAAGGAGCACTTTGTGAATTTTAGTGCACTGGATGTAGGCATCCCAGAGTCTAAGTATTGACAACATGTAAAAACACCCCCTCAACCAAACTCATGTGTTCAAATGATGTGTGTATTATTGTTTGAAAAACATTATTGAATAAAAATAATGCTCTATGTGATGTATGGCTGTAACTATATTTTAGGCGTGCCCGCAGGTTTCGCCCCGTTTACCGTTTCACGGATTAATTAACGAGCGTCATCGTTACTTGCCAAATTTGGCTTGGCTCTATCATTGAATGTATACGCCAGTCCTTGCACAATTTTCATTCTTTTTCATGGTATTTCAAACGGCATTCACGTTCATTACCTCTGTACGCACACATCCGATTGTTTGCTCCTCTGAAGAAATTACCTAATATGTTGCGCAATATTCATCGAAGCTAACAACATTTTGGAAGCACCCCTTCCGGGTAACATGAACGTTCGGAAAGAGAACGAAGCCTTTCCGTATATTTGTGATACTGGGGGCAGCATACTCGAAAAAGGCTGACTCCTCTTAGCCAACCAGCGTCTTCATCTGGCACAAGCTTTCCACCAATGCATACGACAAAATACAACTGACTAACATAAACTATGCTTGAGTGGCTGCATTAAACACCATAGTCATCCCTGAAGACTGCGATGAGTTCAATACCAGACCACAATGCGACTCAATCTATTTGTCACCATGAATCAGTGGAACGAAATCAAGTTTAACGGTTGAGCATCCCAGTTGAAATATTATGATCATTTCGAGGAATTAACATAGAAACTGGAAAACTACGGTTTGGTCCAATACGCCATAATTTACAATCTGTTCATCTGTTCATCTATGTGCATGTTCAACTGATTATGAGCAAACCGATATATGCACATGTTTTGTTTCTCAGTTTGGGCAAAACTATTTCCAGAAACACGAAACCACTCAATGTGCGCGAGCTCGCTCTGTTTATTTGCGCATCTGCTGGGGTGGCAGAGAGACCTACTTATCAACTCTGATTCCATTGGGCACTGAAGCTTGAGAGCGTAACATTGTACTACAGAAAAATCTGCAACTAAACACATGTTTTTATTAACCCACCTATTGTTTTGTCCTTAAAGCCACATAAATTTGGGTGCAGCGTTGGGATACTAGGATAACCATAGTTTAATTGGGTAGCACTATTAGCAAAACTGCTGCCTGCGTAGTCTGAGACACGCATGATAAATTCTGTCCGAAGGTGTTGCAAGCCGAATTCTATATCGCGGTTCCAGTGCCGTTGATGGCTGGAGAAAATTCACTATCGGGCTGCTCGCTAATAATTCACTGGGAAAAAGCACCGCAATAGTGCTGGCCCGTAAAGCGAAGAGGCTCTGCGGAAATGTTCTCAATTGGGAGAAACAGCAGATAATTTAGACTGCGAGATCCTCCCCGCATTTTCCTGCAGATACAATTATTGAGCGTTCCACTGAATAGAGCCGAGTACAAGGGTGGGATCGCAAAATTGCAACAAATTACATTTAACATTGAAAATTATCTAAATGTCTTTCATGAATAGCGAACGTAAGGACGGCTGACGCAGTGTCTGACCTGTGTGGGCATACCACTTAAGTAATATTTATCAGTAAGCGACTGGATTTCTCCAGCTCCCTTTATGCAAATTAAATCAGTCGCTACATTTACGCAGGGCTTCGACTTGAGGAAAGAAACCGCATTTGATGGATTCGAAAAAGTTGGTGGTGGAAAAATAACCGAAAAATTCGCAGTCGTCAGCCACTGTAAATTTGATTAGAAAAACACGCCTGGTGTATGCTTATTTTAGTTGAGGTAAACGCGGTATCTTATAGCTAATGTGCACATTCTTACAAAGTAATCCGCCATAATAAGCAGCTTTTAGTTTTCTAGAGCACACTCACTTTATGGAGACTGGAAGTAGACAAATTACATAGTTTGATGGTGAGATGATGGTATGCAATATCTGATTTCATGGTAGTCGCCACATTTTGACACCCATCCTTTGGGTTTATATTAGTATCGAAACCTTTCAGGCGCTGACATTGCAATTTTAACCCATGAGGATTGTAATAAAATCACGTTTCTGGACGTTGTGTTGGAGGTTAAGTACACCATGACAGAAAGCAATCTGTCTGGATATCTGCGTTCCACGCAACACTGAATGCAACGTTGGCACAATTTTTGGGACAAAATGTACATTGCACAAGATATTGTTCTCTTCCCGTTGCACTCCATTGGCCGAAATTTGTATCGTTCAAAATGGTTGCAAAAAACTGGCTTGAAGCTTAGTCGGTTATCTGGCAAGCGTGCAGAATAGATTTATTTTCATTTCATGTGCTACGTTTTGGACGACCAAACTGGTTTCCAATATTGAAAAATATTAGGACGCACCACATTACATTTCACAATTTTCTTTGAGTGAGCAAGCAAATAATCTGTCTCCTATTTGCAACTCATTCGCCTCTACGGAAGCAGATACGGCGGTGAAGCATGGGTGTTGAAATTTGATGTCATGCTGTCGATGATGATGATGATACCACTGGATCAGACAGTGCGTTCCTCAACGTCCTAGTCATATAAAATTAGCACCATGCTCTTGGGTATTATTCTTACTTAGTTACTCATTTTGTTAGTTCTTGTCAAAACTTTGCCACGGTCTGAATATAGGTCAGGTCGCTTAATTGCGAGAAACATTATTCGTTGTGTGAATTCGTGTTTCAGCGATGGTAGGGCCAATTATATTTCTGTCAAAGATTAGTTCTCAACCAATTCCATTTACCTAAATGTATACAGTCGCGCTTCAGTTTGCCATTTAGATTATGACACGTATATATCGAGGGTTTTTGTCGACTCATGTATTTATTTCCGTTTGGTATTCAGCTTACAGAAGAGTTGTTGTATTTCATACCTAAATTTTGAAGAAATTAGGAAAATATATAGGGATCATTCGAATAATGATTAGGTGTTTTCAAAAAACCCAGAGTGTAGATCAGATATATTTGCTAGACGGTATACCGTAATGTAATTTTCTTATTTCTGGAAACGATTTGAGGAATACGGGTCAACGTGGTCAAACGGTTATCAGTTATTCTAATTGAAGCGTGTCGCTCTTCCGCTAATCATGCCTCGCTCGGTCGTTTATCACTCCCCAGGTTATATTTGTAGAAATGAAAGGCTCAAATGGCGTACTGCGTAAACAAGTGTTAAATATATTATGGTAATTCATCATATGGAACAAACTAGTGAACAAAGACAGTGAGTGTTACTCAAAAGTTTTCTTGGGCGCACTTTGCAGTCGCCAATTTCTTAATTTTGTCGTTTCATAGAAATAAAATGTATACTTGGACGAGAGAATTTCTCGATTTTGCGATTGTTCTAGATAAATTGGTTGACTAGGTTTCGAGACAGCAGTGTTATTAATTCAGAACGATCCCGGTCATTTTACTGACAGCAGTGCAAAATGCTCTAGTGTTTTCAGGCTTTTGCGATACACAATAATTTATGGCGGTGTGCATATCATCCGTGGCGCCGCAAATTTTTGGGCGTCAACAAAAACCTCTGAATTACCACTCAACTGAGAAATATTCTGAATGAAATATATGAGGCCCGTTCTCTTCACGACGCAGCGTAGTGGTGATCAAGGAAGGTCAAAGCACCGATTTTAATAAGGTAAGATCTCACCATGAATTAGGAGTGCTTCATTTGATCGGGGCAGAAAAATAGCTAGGCCTGTGTTGCTACATCGTCAGCGAATAACCGTGCGAGTCAAGGCCTAATTCAGCCATGCATTCTTTGTCTCACGGTATTGAAACTTACTGCTGCCTGGTCAGTGTTAATGGTACAGGAGGATTATCAGGTTTCCTGGATTGCAAATCAGCCATTTCGTCTGAAGCGCAAAACTTCCATCGACTTCCTCCGAAGCGAATAGTAGGACATTTATGTGACTCATATTTTGGCGTGAGTACTCGTTTAACTGGAGGGGATTGCGAAAGTATTTGTCAGTTGCTATCAATCTGGTTGAGCGAGATGCCGAAAGAACGGACAGAAACGTCAGAGAATAAGCCACGATTATAGAAAATCATACCCGCATTCGTTCGTATGGGTTCAAAAACGCAGTTTACGTATTTGGGGAGTAGTGCATTCAAACAAATTTGCGCGTTGATTGATTACTGTGCAGGAAACTAGTAAATCGTCTTTGCGGAAACGTTTCTTGATAGCCTTCCACTACCCAACGTATATCAACCTTACTATAATGTATTCAACATAGAAATAGAAATGCTGCGCGTTTTTGGGTTGTACTCAAAATTTTATGTTGCATTGGGTATAAAAATGTCCTCGTAAATGCATCATTTATTTATTTGAATAGCGACGCCACTACGTGCTTGGTCAAAAGGGCGGAAGCGTCCAAAACATCTTCCACATGGTCACCAAGATTTGCGCTCATTGCTTTCGAGTTCCAACTACATTTGAACTCTGCCGCACAATTCCTGGAAATGTCAAACATTCTAAAGTAAGTTCCTTCCTGGAGAACGTAAATGGGGTAGTCTGCGGTCAGTAGTTTCCATTTGTCACCATGGATGCAAGGGCACTCTAAAAAGGCACATTTGCTTGCGTTACGTTACACCAAGCGCAACTCAACCATGCAGGTTAGAGTAACCAGAACGTTAGATCATTCTAGCAACTGTGCAACTGCTTTCTGAAAAAGACTATATGAACCGGAAACTTAACTGAAAACAAGGCTGATTTTGTAGTTCTCACAGGAACGCACGTGCAGCAAACCTGAAAATGAATTCAACAAACATGGGTCCCCAAGAATAACATTCGTAATTGGGTAGCGTGCAATGATATAAAACTGCTGATTGCATTACATTTCACATTTCACAAGCGTGTACCGATGAGGTATTTTCAACGGTGAGGAAAATTATCAGATCAACAGCAAAGCTCAGCTAATCGAAAAACTGCCACGTGGTTTACAATCAGCAAACTCATACAAGGAACAAATGTTTGACACATTACCAAGGCGTTAAACTTAATCACAAAGGAAAGATTGGAGCTTGACAAACTGAACGCAGCGACCACTAGCGCATTTCACACAACCATGCTTCTTTAGGGCGCACATTGTTCTGTTTTCATCACTGATTTTAAATTCTGGTTTTCCTATTTGCCACCCTGATGTCTTGATTTTGCCCACTGATCTGTTCCGTGCACACTGCTTCAGGGAAGGCGGAGAATGTTGAATGCAACTGAATTGCTATGAAGGCCAACTTGATTGCATTAAACTTTCCGCACAAAAAACTGTTCCCGCAACACAGAAAAGTTGATTTTAGGCAAAAAGTGGAAGTTGCTACCTTGCAATGCATGCTCAAACGAAGTAAGTTTTCGGAGATAATTGATGCAAAAATGTCCATCCACCTAACGCACGAGCATGCGTGGAGAAACGTTTTGTCCAGGTGCTTGTTAGAGTACATAGTACACTAACAGACTTGATTCCAAAAAACTGCCACCTGACTAAAAAAACACAGGAAAGCAGAAAAGAACGCAAATCCAGTGAGTTAGGTTTTTTTTTAATTTTTAAATTACTTTGTCCTCAAAACGCTATACTTTGTCCTCAAAAATGCTATGGAATCCTCATCAGATTTCATTCGGTAGACACAGTTAACCAGTTGTTTCCAAAGGTCAAAGCTAATTGAGGCAAACACGTTTACTGAATCCGTCACCTAAATTGTTCAAATATTTCATTCTAAACAGTCATAAATCCCATGCATTCGTTGGGTTCCAATTTCCAGTCGTTTCCTCGGTAAACGATAATAAAACAAATTACTTGTTGCGCCACACTTTCAAATGACTGTCGTTCATATCAGCATGATTGCAAACGTCCGAACTAGGTGAAGCTACTATTTTCCAGAAATATGGTTGTACCATAAACGCTTGCATTCAAAATCAACTCCAAAATATGCGATGTTAACCCACTGCTGGAAGCAAGAATCACCATGGTCTCACGTGACAATCAAAGCATCCTGGCCAGAGTCTAGGCTTCCACTACCAAGCAGAATGTTCCAAAGATGATTTAACAACCATGAAACGTTATCCACGCTACGAGTTTGAACATGCTGGCAATGAATGCGCACCTTATGTGCCCCTCAAGCATCATGTCTCACCGTGTGCTTTGAATCGCCTTCCTTTTAAGCCGGCTCATCAAATTCGACACACCCGCAGACAGTCGCCAGCGGAACGGAGACAAAAAACAATACCGCGAATGGAACGCATGTCGATAGGGCTTCCTATGTGTTACCTGTGTTTGCTATACACAATTATTTTTGTACAGCCAAACACGTTCCAAGCGAAGAATTTCGCTTTTGTATGGGCAACCCAAGTAAGAGTGTCAACCTTCTTATTTTAACTATTGAAAAACGTGCATTGAATTGCTCGCTGAAGCCAAGATGGACGAAAATTGCAAACCTTGTATTAGAACCGCTTGGTGGTTGTAATATTTTATGTTTCCGAATTTAATGATTAACGTCAATTGAATGTAGAATACATGAGAAAGAGCAGGCATATTTACGACATTACTTTTGGCTTCAGAGATTTTTGGTGTCACACTTTGATTCCGTTTTGCGGCAGCTCATTCCTTCGTTGAAAACCTTTTTTTTTGCATACACACTCGTGGAATACAACCAAAAACGTGATTGATCGCTTCAGATATTGCAATTTTTTACGCCAATCTAAATTGTTTTTTGACCTTGCAAAACATCGTCAACATGCTTTTTCAAATCTTGGCAAGTCGAAGAACGTAGCAAAGGTAATGTACGGCCCCAAGGCTTAGGTTGCTACCTTTGGAATTCGTGAATATTAGAATGTGGAGTTCATGTTGACGATTTGTATTGTTCACTATTTTTCCAAATTTTTACCATATCCCGACGTATGCTAAGTTCCGCGGGAGGCCGCAACTTCGCAAGTCGCAATGACCTTCCATGTGTCGGACACTTGAAGAGTTGCCTTACGATGAAAACTGGTGATAAAAAGGGGATAAAAGAGACGATTTTAGCAAAATCTTCTGAACCCTAATCACTAAGGGAATTGTGCGTAACAACCGATCAGTTGGACTTGAAAAAGCACTTCTCCGTTTGTATCATTTTCAAACAATTAAGCCTACGAAAAAACCATGAACAGTACTTCTATAGTGTCTGCGGCGCTTGATCATAGCGCATGAGACCGATGAGACGTATCTGATTTACCAAACAGGTTGTGCTTCTAAAGAAGTGAGCATTCCCTACAGACACCGTCTGTGGCGAAAGTATAGTGTGTCCATGAAAATGGCTCATATCTATTTGTTCCCAATTTCCTGTAGTACTACAAAGTCCCTGAAGTTAAACGTTCAAAATTCGGTCACTGCAATCTTCGCGTAACACGGCAGGAGGCTTAACATGATACGCAAAAAATACTGGATCATTGGCTCGGCCGCAGCCACTCGGCCTCCGCAAAACTCATCGTACCGCTGAAGCACCCTTTCGCTACCTAACTTCCATGCAAGCTGAGAAGAATCACAACGGCTGGGGCATGCACATTTTTCTCAGTCCTAGGGAGGAGAAGTTAAGGAGCAGTGGCGAGTTTCGAACAACAGACCTTTTGTTGCGCAAACTCTTGCTCTATCTATTTAGCCATCTCAACCCCCAAAAAAGCTTCTGAAAAAAGTTTAATTCTTATTCAAACAGAAATATTATTTTTGGTGCAATTTCTGGTCAAACATTTCTAGGGGCCGGTCGCTTACTTTACCAGGGTGGACCCGTGTTGCACAGATTATCCACACAAAATATAGGCATTGCAAGCACATCTTAATCAGCACTTTGAATGCGCTGCTGATAATGAAAAAAACTATATCCCACCATTGCATTTACGCGGATGCAAATATTTTCGGATTTTTCAAGTGTCTACTTGATGTGGAAATATGCAATGGATATTACTCCGACTGCGTTGGTCAGGATTTATTTGAGTTAGCATTTAATGTGGATATAGTACTGCCTAATAACCATCGGTGATGCACATACTTTGACTAGCAGCTGTGGTATTTATTACCGCCGAAGGTGTTCTTTATACTGCTTGCAGCCAAAAATACCGCCCACTGATCAATCCATTTTATATCATCGGGTGCTGCACGTCTCCACTGTGCATCGTGCAATATTCTCTTCATCATTTGTCAAATTCCGTTTTCATATTTTTCTGTGTTTCTCCCGGCGTTTTTGTACACCACAGGTTTTATAGACACATACACTGACGCCTTTCTGGACACAAATTGAGAAAACTTCCTAATGGAAACGGCGCACGTCTGACGCGGCATTTAAAGGGGAACCGATTTCGGGATCAAGAAAATTTAGGTGCACAGATTTGCTCTTCGATTTCTTCAACCGTGTGAAATTATAGGCTCATTTGTTCTAAAAAGGCGTTTTGGCCATAAAGAAAAATGTATCATTGCCAGAAAGCTTTTGACGCATACTCCGCGAATATTTGCGTACCATATAAATGCGCATACTTAAGAACGTGGTGGTGCAGGCTATCCCAAACAAGATCTCTGATAGACAGAAGACTGCATACTGGCACTTCGGATAAATGTGATTAACAAGAAAATCTTTCAGTATATTTACACAATACAGCTTTTCAATAACCAGGGGACTATTCATAGTTCCTCGACCATTGTTCATTTGAAGCGCACTACCTAAAGTTGTCGAAATCTGCCAGTTGAAACTTCCTGTTTACGTCTCGCTAAAATGCGCTCAATGTCAAATGTTTAACTACCATGAGCACCAAGAACGCATCGAAGCAATATTCCAACGACTAAGAATCGGGAAACCCTTAAAAGTGATTTCTGAAAAATAATTCTGATTGCTTACAGCTGACCAAATATTGTGGATTATTATTTTCGGCACTAAATTTAGTATCTACCAACTCATTGTATTCTAGCTCGGTGCGATGCATCATATATTCGGTCGAATGAAGTCTACATTTTACGGCTAGCTTCCTGCACCCAAATACGTTGCTTTAAAACCCTGTAACAAAACATATGGGGGTGAATCAGGCCATCGCCGATAATTGCTGTCAACGGTGAGTTCCGAAGGCACCTCGGGGGCACTCAAATGCACATCGGTTAGCTGGAGGTATTTAAGTGAAAGCTTTCCAGACGTCTTCAAACGCTCTCCCTCTTGTGAGGGAAAAACGGCTGCCATCCAATGTGCTTTGTCGAATCGTAATAATGTAAAATGCACACATGTGAAGTGAGCAAGAGGCGTTCTTTTGCACGGCTGTGAAAAGGCGTACATTTATATATGTTTAATACTTCGCGAGGAAACTTCGTTACAGATCACTGGTTTATTTTCTCTCTAATAATTAAAATTACTGTTGTACGCTTTCAAAATGAGGGGGAGAAAACTGATTGGGCTATGCAATATTTATGTTTGGAATGTCATGCTATCTTTGTAAAATTCCAACTACAAATCGCAGTGAAAAATTTGCAGGGAAACAAATCATGTTTTTCAAGAAGATCGTCGGTTTCACAAATACTGAAAAGGACAAAATTAGTTGACGAGTTATCACATCTTTTATTATGGTATATAGTTTGACCATCCTTGTTTGTTCCATACAACGAACAGGCTTGTAAATTCGTGGAAAACATTGTAGCAGTGGCACAGAAAAAGAGGAAGCCGTGGGACCGTACTATGGCCAGTTCACTGCAGGAAACATGGCATGCTTAGTTCTGCTACTCTGCGTGGGTTCGACTGTCAAAGTAAACATTCAAAAGGTGTATGACGAAAGCACGTTCAACATCGCGTGTTGAGTACGTCAAAACCACTATCTTCAAGTCTGTCGAAATTTCACACATACCAACCGATCGAAGTTGATCAGAACTCCAAAATTGCCGCCCTCCGATCAATTAATTTTTCAGCGATGAAAAGCCAATCCAAGTGTGTCATATATTCGAACACCAAAAAGTCCGATTTTCTTAAAATCTGGGATCAAGTGAAGTACCAGTGCCATCTGTTGAACATATCAAAAATAATTTATGGTAAACAATAAATAAAAAATCACAACTAAGTGGAATAAACGAGAAACACACCTGGATATCATCTGAATCTCTCATTTGTGATGTTTCGAGACAACTGGATGCGCTGAATCAGAACACCTCATGGTTCAGCAGCCCAATGAGTATAATGCAATATGAATATACATGTAACACAATGTCTAGAATATCGTAGCAAATGAAACATGAGGCGGCCGGATGCAGCCCATTGAGTGGTTTGGAAGCACCACACGAGAGATTCAACTGGGTTCCAGTTGAGACTCTCAAAAAAACCAACTAGTTTACAATAGGATGCACTTTGACAATTTCGTGAGATTGGGGTTTAACAGGAACGCAAATTTGACGGAAACTCTTTGACTGCCGGTACGTGATGATCCCCGAGAACGGCAAAACCGGACGTGGGCTGTCAACGAATTTGCAACAAACTTGTGAGTAGTGCATTATGAAAACGTAAGTTATTTAGCTAGGAGTAGATGGATAAGCAAAATCCTAGAGAGGACGAAATCAAGAGCTGGACGTGAAAAATTTACGTTCTGGAGTTTCGTCCGTCCAGAGTGACCTATTATAATCAACGTAAAATTTCTTTCTTTCCTTCTTGAGTATCGGGTGAATTAGTAAGCGAATACGAAGTATCAGTGCAACCTGGGACCCGCATTCAAACCACGGTAGGGGTAGGGACTACAAAGTACAGTTAATTTCGCAAGCATGTTTCGTTTGCACACCCGGAGAAGAATCAGGACAATCCCGCTGATATTTAAGCGTGACACGACAAACACTATGTTGGTGGCCTGCAGGAGTTTGGTGTATAATAACCGATAGGAAGTGACCAGAGAACCTCATGTGCTTTCTAGGCTGATAGTGAGATCCCTGAAGGAGCCCGCCCGAGTATCATATATTCACTCCCGCAACAATGTGATTTTTAATAGTTCTGGAATCACGTACAATGTTAATTTTGGTGATTCTTTCTAGCGTCGACAAAAGCCCCGAAAATCAGCCCAGAACTGCCACAAGCGATTACTCCCATGCTATTTGAGAATGTAGGACCGGAATCTCGTATGATTCATGGCTGTCATATATCATGTAGAATACTGAATAACTCATAAGTAGATACCTTTCATGGGTAGCCCAATGAGAACGCATATTTCGCAGGACAGAAACGTGGGGAAAATTGGTCACCGACTGTAAACAATATAGACAAAACCTTGGCGAAAAACGACCATGTAGTTTTATCATCACCATTCTCTTGAAACAGTGACTAAACAGACAAACTGTGCGATTTGAAAGACTCTCAGACAACACAAAAACGCCCACCACGTTGGCTCACATCACTGTGGGCCCAACGTGATTTTGAGAAATAAAAATTTCCCTTCGTGGTTCGATAGCGTTCATTGTGAACGTATCCACTGGATCAACATCCTCGGTCATTGAGTGAGACCCAGTAATTTGTGGTTTACAAATGTCGTCCACTTTCTGGGCAGTTGTTCTACGCCACTTTTGCCATCTCTGTGCTTCTCCATCTGCGGAAACAGCCTAAAAGGCTGTTCTACCTTCTACTAAATGTATGTTACCGGTTTTTTTTGTGTGTGTGCGGGACATCCAATAAAGGCCAATAAAGTCCAGTCTAATAAAGTAGTGAATCAGTATGTTTGAAAATGCCGTTGAAGTTGTCACATGGAAATAACGCCAAGCGCAACTCGCGTCTAGAGTCCCATATTCGCACCGCAGTTTTCTTAAGTTAGAGAAAGTTTCGTAGAATCAACTTTAAAGTGCACTTATCGAAACAATTATTTTTATGTGACCTACATTCCTCCGGCGGCATCTTGACTAGCAATTTCAGCAATATTGTTTTTCCCCAATCAGTATTCAAGTTGCATTGGTTATTAGTGGGTCGCGACGTTTGACTTTTTCCATTCGAAAAAAATCGTTCATTTGTAGAACCCTTTCGATGTCTCAATTCCATGCCACCCGAGGTATGCACGAGTGCCTGGACACTGTCATGTTGCATAAGCCTAGACAGGAAAAGTCGACAGACTGCGAACCCATACTATCAAATCGTTCTAGCTCATCTTGAGGTTGTTCATCACATTATTGATGATCCTATTGTTTGTACTCACCTATGCAACGATTTTGAGTTTCCCAGAAGCACCTTCCTATCGGCCGAGGTTGCAAACAACAAAAGCGATTTTGTTACATGATACGGAAAGTCAAGAATCTAACACTGCTTCAAAGTATATTTCATTACCTAGACTCTGCATTTAAGAGATGTGGATAGCATGAACGCCGGTTTCTTTCTTAGACCCTGCTTGTGATGAGCATTCAACCATTCCCTAACTGACACATTAAAGTCAAAACCAGGGTGCTGGCCAACGTCCACAGATTTTTCAAAATTGTAAATATTTATTACAAGTTTATGCAATTTTCTAATATGCCGGCTAGAACTGTCCCACTTATTCACACTCCACTGCTGGCATCATGTTAGCTTTCATGGTTAACCTAAATGAAACGCAACTATACAAGACCAACCGGCCAGTAAATGGTTATCAGTTTGATGGTGTGCAAATGCGGGGTAACTTCGTAGAACCGTGTTTGCCCGGTTGGTTGGAATAAGTTGGGAAGCACAGAGCACGCATTTTCGTACAAACAAAAGTAGGCGCCTTATATATATATATATATACCATGGTTGCGCTGGTCGTTGGCTAAATATCCTAGTTGTGCACAATAATCTACAAGGTTCTTTTGCGAAATTCAGGCATATTTAAATCGCGGATTGGAATATGTCCTGCTTGAGTTTTTGGTTTTATAGATTCCGTTGTCCAATTTTTTTTACTTGTTCGATTCGTCTTCTTTAACTTTTTTAATAATCCGTTGACTCTCACGCAGTAGTAAACAAATGCTGCAGAGCAGTTACACAAATTCCGTATAAATCCCCATTTTCCGCTAGGCCAACCGGCTGTTATGATAAACCCACGTACTACTTGTGTGTTACACCAGTAGTGTCCATTGTCACACTGGGAGCACAAATTAATGAAAACTGTGGGTAGCAAATAAGCCGAAATCAGCAGTATTATTCTTTCATGTTTTCATTAAGCTGGCAGACCACCATGTAGTTTTGTCTGTACCTTAAATACGCAGCAACAAAACCATTTAGACTGCTGCCATTGGCTTGCTTGTGCAACCAGAAATGACTATACAAATAGGGCTCAAATTTATAATTTCGTGCTAAGATTTTTGTGTGGTTTACTAACGGATATACTACAACGGAATTTTTACATAACTTCAGTTTTTCCTGCAGTTTAAGGCGTCAGGGCTTCAGTAAGCGAAAAGCAGAGAGAGACACCCTACGCTTCCGAGGCGCCTCTTCACTAACACCTTTTGGAAAGAATTATTGTCAGCGTTATTTCAAGTAACAAGTCGAAATAATTTCCTCACCAAAATGCTCAAAGATTTCTTTAAGAGTAGTGCCGATTTCGCGTTCAGCGAAACTTCATGTGCTTAACTTTGCTTTGCGTGGTCAAAAAGCAAACAACCTGGTGGACAAAAAGGTACTTGAATAACTAGAGTACCCTTACTTAGTAATGTTAGACATGGAATTGGAAATTTTCAATTTCCCGCGTTAGTAATGTTAGACATGGAATTGGAAATTCAATTTTCAGTTTCCCGCGAACGAAATCACTCAGGTATTCGACATGCTGCTTGACAATAAAAGCGAAAGGCAGGACTTACTTAAATAGAGATAAAGTCCATTTTCGACACCTTTGTCTGGAACGAGAAATGCATGCATTACAAGTGACTTTTCAAAAGTAGTTCGACATCAATAATGAAACACTTTATCCTTTAACTGCCTAAGTATACCAATGGAATAAAATCTCTCTGGTTTCTAGTCGTATTGCAAATGTGCTGTTTTATTATTTATCAACGGCGACTTTACTGGTGAAACAGTTACACAGGATGAACATAAGCCTACCGCGTCATGTATCGTATTTGACGCTGTCTCCACTAAAATATATCTCAACAATGTATTGAATAAATGGAATGATTCATATTAACCCGACTTCATCACACAAAAGCAAACGTACGCTACATGTGGGCTCTTCATTTATGACTCGAATTATGTTCGCTCTTTCAGGTTACAAATGCACCCTTCTTAGAATCAGCGATGTTCCTCACACACGTGGTGGAACTGGAATACTCAGGTAAGTAAATCAAATTTTGTCAATTACATTGCTCATATCGTTTTTCACAGCCTGGGTTTCTCAGTTCAACTCAAGTATATCTGCTTTCGTGTTCAAACTGTATACAGGCATTTGAATGCCAAAAAATATATAGCTAAAACAAAAATACGATGAAGAAGATATTCAGGTTACCAAAATTCATAAAGGTTCAAAACGCTTGCACAAAAATTCCGTACTTCAGCTTGAATGAGGTTATCGAAAATTGTATGAAAATTTAACCAAAGATTTAACATGGTTCACTATTTAGTACTTCCATTGTCATGTGGATCATCCCTATTTTTTCTGTTTGAAAACATTAAACATACAGAAGCTAGTTGTAAATAGTATTGAACTACATAAGCGTTTAATCCTGGTGCGGGAGAAATCCATGAATTCGCAAAGCATTACAAGCAATCAAAACAGAGTTTCATGGTTGTAACTATATAACCTCGGCTGCTAGGATCTAAAAGTGGGGTGTATTATTGAGTACCGCAAACAAGCGACACTTCCCGCCCATTGTCCCGATAAAAATGCACGCTTACCAGATTTTAATTTGCCTTCATTACAGATCAGCCAAGTCATTACAATTTTCGCGTAGAAATTCAAGGGTAATCAAGTGCATGCAAAAACGCATTTCTTTAATGTTCCAAATTTTTACCATGCTGTGCTTTACGCCGAAAGCTTAGGAAATATATCAACGCTCATGTCTGCAAACAATTTGGGGGCCCAGAGAACGCGTTTGATCATGCATTTAAATAGACAACTTATAGATTGGGGAGTGATATAATTCCAATGACTGGGAAGCTTTTACACGTGCGTCTACTAGACCAACTCCCAGTTCTGTTCTGAATGAAAGGAATGAGCCTCTCTCTGGACTGAAAAGCTCCTGTGGGCTTGAACGAATACTTTCAGACAACATGGTTTATGATGGAATTAAAAGCAAGATATTTGTAGAAAATAACGTGAGCGGGCTGCGCACATGTACATCAATTTAGTGTGCCATAGATCACCGATACAACAATTGTTCAAGCTATTGGTTTTCACCCAAATTTGATCTTATTTCGAGTACCCCTTGCAAGGAGGCCTTCGACTAAAATGAACAAACGAAAAATTGTGAAGCCTTGACCATGTATATGTGATTACCTGTGTACGGAAGCGGTAAGAATTTACAGACACATAACATATATAACGCGGCAAGTATTCTCATAGCATCTTCCAATTGAAGATAAAGGAAATAATATTATTGTCCGTTGGGCTGCTCATGGTTTTATGCACACAAATTTGTAGTAGTTTTCCTAACCTTGTAACTTGTCCATTGCTTTGCATTCGTCAGATCTTTATAAACAAAATACGTGCATTTTCATTTGAACGCTAAACAACTTTCCGTCATATGGTACACAAATAAAGTTCGGAAAATACCCTCTAAGGAGAAAGCAGTTATAACTAAAAAAGTGAGCCACATGTTTTTAATATAATGACGAAATTCTTCTAGAAAACTATTTTCGGTTGAGTTACGATCAGTCTGACCTGTGATTCATATTTTACTGTGTGTTTATATCTCTGTGGGAAAGTATACACAAGTAGGTTTAGTGATTCGCCTATGAGTGATCCACTGGAGAATACTCTGCATGGAATTTTTACGGCAAAAATTTCATGAGTACTTAAACTGCTTTGTGACCCTCAACACGTGTTGGCAATGCGCCAAGTTCAACCCGTCATGGAAGACACACTGCCGCATAACCCTAAAGTCATAGTCCAACGCTTACCGCGGATAACAAAAGTTTTGAGCATTTTTCTGATGAGGTGCTTCCTCAAGTCTGCTAACCTGTTTTTCCTCACCAGTCCATAGATGATCATTGAACGCCTCATAGATTTGCAACCCAATGAAATGTAACTAGAACCTGGAGTATCCATCCCCGTATTCTTTGGAAACTGGACTCTTGTCTTAAAAGTACGGCTGAAGCTAACAACCGTCTACTTTCCTCTCAGGACATACACACACGTACAGGAATCATGCGTCAGGTAGACGACGCTTTCTATGGTTGTTAGTGGAAACCATCGGTGGAATCCTCAAAACCACGCACTTTGGTGCACCAGTGGAACGGCGGATATTTCTTTTAAAGATGTGAATACTACGTGGCTCCTAGTAACTCCAATGGACGTTGAGGTTCCTTACGGAACTGGTGGAACAGCTTTACGGTGTTTGTTTACAGTGTAGGCGGCGATGATTATCCACGAAAGTTCACTAACACGCGTTAGCATAGTCAGGTTTCTAGAGTAAGACGCATCTGAATTTTCCCTACTGTCCAATAGTTTGTAGATGTTTTCAGTTGGCGTTTTCTAACAAACAACTCCGCCGAGAAGGACTTTGCTCCTGTAAACGGTACAAAATTGATTGCCTATAGTCTAACCGGAGTGATGCTGATATCTCCAGTCGTCATCACTCTAATTAGGGCTGTTTTGTTTATTCAGCTGCGTGATCTCAAGCCGGTAATGCGTAAAAGGATAAGGATAAAGATGATGAGCCGAACGTGCTCAACCAAGAAGGTTGAAAAAACACAAAGCTATGAATAAAACGCTACAGAAATATAAAACGGAGAAATTCGAGACCGCAACATCTCCATTTACCGAGGAGAACGCCCATAATTTAATTGCAACATGTATTTAAACCAGTTGCATACTTATTTATTTATATAGTAGCTTAATATTAGGTGAATGTTAAAAGAGCACGATTAGGCAGAAAATAGCCTCCGCAGAAATTGTCACTACATACTTTGGTATTTACATCTCCGTCCGACTCATCGTGCGGTCTTTTGACTCCCTTCATTAAAATATGTGGCCATTGTTTGGTCAACCATTCTTCCTTGAATCAACCGCAAAGTGTACATGTGTGGATGTACAGCAATTTATTGTGCAGCGTCCGAATAAGGTTTGTCAAGTTACAATTCACGATATTATTAGCGGGGCTATCAGTGATCCGCACTGCATATCGAGTAGATTCACTGTAAACCAGATACTACCGGGGGTTGTTTTATGTTGTGAAAATGCGACTAAGTTATGTAGATAAGCGCTAGCATATTTTCCTTCTCAATTTTGCGCGCACCCATCACAAACCTCAGATCCGGAGGTTTGAATAAACAGATGTGTGTAGTTTTTTTTGGATTCCGGCGAAAATCAGCGAGAAACGTTTTCCAAGCAGTAAATGACTATGGTCAAAATCATGCGTGGTAAATCCGGTTCGCGAATGCGATGCGTGCAAAGGAATACTAGTTTTACGGAAAAAATGGTTGCTTTAGTTTTTCGCCGTCAGAGCGGGAGATTTGATTGCGAGAGAAAAGGACAGAGGTGTGCAAAAGTCTGGCTGATGCAGAAGTTCAAAACATCTGGCTGTCTGTTCATCACTAGTTAGTTGCTGTTGCCCCGCGTAAAGCATACTAATAATCATCATATGAAACCACACCAGGTCGTTCAAAGTTCCGAATGCTTTTACAACAGGGAGAGCACACCTTCTTAGACACGTCGCTGGTCTTCGGACCAGCCACATACTTGGAACCGGAGCTATGCCAGCCGAAGGCGTATACATCTTATCTCTCAATCTGTTTCTTTTTGAAGAGAATTCGTCTTCACTTTACCCATCAGTCTCCTTCCTTTTCTCGAAGATTCTAGAGTGCAACCTAACAATCGGTGCAAAAAGCTGCACGCGCATGTGTCAGTAGTATTCTCCGCAGTGTCCGAGAGCAACCGATACGCCATAATTCGACGCCACCTTTGCGGCCCTCCACAAAATTTTCCGAATTAGTCCTGAACCGTTGAAGAAGTCTGCAGTTACATATGTGAACGAATATTTGGGCAAGGGGTGACATGTCATATCAACATGTATCCACCAGGCCAATTGAAAGGAAAAACAAATTCTTTCACCATAATTCCACTGAAATAGTTCACCGCCTGCAAAGTGAAACTAGGGTGATATCAGAGGAACCAAACGAACAGCAGTAAACGACTGATGACCAGCGAAGTGAGAAATAGTGAATAGTGAACGTTTTGCGCATGTGCCCATTTGTCCGCCAATAGTCACGCTTGCCACATAAAACGGTAAACATCATCTTGACAGGTGATTTCCCTTGAGCAGTATCCCAATGCGACCGTTAGAGCCGCTGTAATTTCTGATTCAATGTAAACTCATATTGTTTTCGGGTATTTGAACTCTTTGCTGACTTCACTTCTGTTGCGTCTCTTATCGTTGATACCTCCGTATTCTGGCCAAAGTACACGTTTCTAGTGAACAGTTAAAAGCGCCGTTCTGCTGAAAACCTTTTTGGTGCCTAGCTGCTTCGCCATCAGAAGGTAGCACTAGGGTAGAACTTCCACGATGCCCAAAACTAGACCGATGAAATCGGTGGCATTTGAACTACAGGCCGTCCTGTTAGCCGATTCGCGCTCAAACCACTTGACCATCTCGCTTCAACGCGCAGGTACAGAAATTGAATTGCTTGCTAAAGGATTGCTCAAACATGTCCTCCTTCATCCTCTAGCCTCAAGGTTGTTTAGCCTAGACTGAGCACAATATGTCAACGCAATCGAATTCTCAACTTATGGAACCTACTCACATTGCATTCAGTTTATACGCTTATGTGTAAGAGTACTAAAACCTAGGCCAGATTCTAAATACCTACAGTCCCTAACATTGTGCTTCCGCTGAAGTTGGCGACCGCATGCTTAGGTTTGTATATGGATTCATGTATAAAACAAATAGGCGTCCTGGCTTTAATCCGAACATCACCAGTCTGAAAAAAACTATTGTGAGTCTGACGACATCCACATGGTAACCAAAAAATGTTTCGAAGTGCAACCACGTTGATGCGGACAGAGGCTGGCCGAGGTTTCCACACAAAACTACAAGTATGCCGCTGAACCTTTGCGACAGTGAAATTTTGTTTGAGTACTGTTTTGGACTACAATCTCTTAATTCCTTCCTGTAACCATGAAACCCATTATGGATGGCCACTTGAACACCTGGTACTTTTGTAAGTTACTCGGAACCGGTTCTCCTAACAATCGCTCACGTAATTACTTCAAACATCCTTCTAAAAACGTTCGGGAATTCCACTGGTCACATCAAATAATCTAAGCCCACTAGTTGGGTTTTTAACGGAGAAAATTCAGAATTATTGGCGATGGAAATCGTTGGAATATTGTGACATATGAACCATCTTGCAGGTTTCAACTTTGATCTACAGACAATTGCTCAAATGATGGTTCCGATTTCTGATGTTGTAACTTGATACAACGATTTACTGTGTAAAAATCATGTAGTAACTACAAATAATGGAAAATGGGAGACCCGGATAACACGTTGTCGTGCGAAAATCTACACACTGTTGGAACTACACGGATAGCGTCAGTGCCAGAATTTAGAAGAAAAGCTGTTTCTTTGGAAATAGGCCGTTAACTCCTGGGGTTTATTTGAGTGATTCTTTCAAAATGATGTTCAACAAGGTAGATATTCTGAAAGTCCACGTAGCCTTCGGCGACCGGCGTCTTTGTAGTAAAACGCAAAAGAAAGCGAATCGGCTCGAAATTTTATTGAACGCGCTGGTACGCTATTGCATAGCTCAAAAGTAGTTCAAATGAGCCAAGCATTTTGCCAAATGTACAATTTGGTTTTGTATAGTAAATGTAGTATTACGGATATACGTTTGGAAGTTAAAATCTGCTTGCCCCCAACACTCGCTCACTAGCGAGTTAAACATTGGTACAAGTGTGTCTACGTCGAACTCTCTAACTACTTTTGTTCTGCTAGTGCTCCGGTTTCGTTCGCTCTGAGATACTACTCCAAGGGCTGATATTCTAAACGATTTTTCGGAGAACAGCGCAATCTCAGAGCGTCCCTGTTAGGTCCCCAGGTCAAATCGCCTTACTTCGCCATAGGGCGTGTTTGCTTAGGAAAAAAGATCGCATGGTTCACCCATATATTGAACTCCGATAAATATGACGGTATTTGCAAAGACTGAGTTGTGCGATTGCAACTACGTGCTTAATTCTCCGGTGAGCTTGTTGACCACAGCGGAAAGTATGAAGTTGATAAATAATCTCAGGTGCCAGAAATAATGTCTGGAACTCCTAATTAAAACAAACTGTAATTTATCATCAACAGAATCGCTTTCGCTAACAATCTTACAAACGCGTTTGTGGCCTTGTTGTGCGAAAATATGTAACTGGTGAACCTGTCAGTTGGTGTGTTCTTAAGCTACGGTGCTTTATGATTAAAATGGAGTTTCCTCCTTAATGATGTGCTGAAGAAGAGAGTCTCTACTCCAAAGTAGGTGTTATAACCAGGAAACAATTAAGAATATTTTCCAGACATTTATGATCATATTTCATGACCCAGTTCGGATAATCCACAATCTTTGGTCTATATCACTGTCAGCACTGGCTTTCCTTTAATTTTTTTTCATTAAAAACTAGGCTCTTCCATCTGTTCCCGGTTGTCCAGCAACCTCACAGTAAACACTGCGAAAATCCCTGCAAGACTTTTGTCCAGGACTACGTATGAGTAGCTTTCCACTGATTATAAAATCTGTGCAGTCGATGATTATGAGCATCATAGTTCCATTTATCACCTCACTTTATGCTTTTGCGTTAAGCTGCTTCTAATTTTGGCATGAATAATTCAACCATATGGACGGGTGCGAAAGTAAATTCTTCGACTACCGACAAACCTTCACATATCGAAGCCATGGTGGCTACTGGTGACCTCAAAATTGATCTGAAGTGACACACGAGCGCACAATTTGTTTATTCAGGAGTCACTACGCAACAAGCTCTGAAATACCGAGAGGCTTCTTATTAGCACGTGTTTCGAAATCTTTATCGAGCCGATCGAAATAGAGATGACAAACAAACAATATCCACAAAATTCAGGCATCGAATTTTGTCAGAATTATTTCAAATGGACGAGCATTTTTATTGATGAATAGAGTGGTTCACAGAGGTTTACAAAAATCAACTCCATCGTTCGAATGCTCATGTTTTCCAGTGTCAGTGGAGTGGGCTGTCAAATCAGCGAAATTGGCGTACGGCGATTTTATTTGCCACAGTTTTGTTTCCGGGAAATTTTGGTAGTTATGGTAAGCAGCTGCTCGTTGGTAACCAATATAGTTGCTGCGGCAACACAGAAAAGACATGGGACTACACATTCAAGGTATTATGAGGAGATACATGCAATACAGGTAATAGTTCGAGTGCGCGATCACCGGTGGTGTCGCGACCGAGCTATCCTGACAGAATTTCCCGTCACCCATATGTCGCGCTTGATGCCCTCATTTAGGGCGCTGTAAATTATTGGCGCAAATGAGTTCGGTTGCAATGGCATTCATAAATCACTACAAAGTCACTGTTTTAGTTCTTCCAACCTGTTCGTTCCGTTCATTTTGGTAAGCGAGAACAGCCTTTCGATCCGCTGTGTTATGGAGCACGCGACCAAGCTAGCGTAATCTATGAGGTTGTCTCAATTGGTTCAATTAACGTTGGCGAGTCAAACCAGGTAAGTTAATGGTTATATTGTGACAAACACAGTCTTCTGACCCATCAGGTTGGTGATTAGAGAATGTATGACGACGCTTTCCGTAAAAATGTTAGTGTACCTGCATTTCGAGCCCAACATCGCTGCCTTGCGGTAGGATTTTTGAAATAAGGACCTTACTTGAGGACCACAATCGCCCTGCTGTCTAGGTGTCAGCACATTGCAGGATCCCTGCTGACGCTTCCTTACTTTTGCATTCACCTCCTGCATTTTGCACCCTCACGCGTTCGAATGTAACAATTTACCTTGCAGGAACCTGCTGCAGGACTGAACGTTTAACCCGCCCTGAATCATACTCAGCCGCTGCTTCTGCACGTCCGCGTTTAGTCAGAAACTTACATGGTTCAAAGTCTCCGAATATACACCTATTTGCGAGAAAATCACTTGGAACTCAGCTGGATCCCTCGGTTTTGATGTTTCCAGGCAACTGAATACACCACTTCAGTTTGCGAATGAGTATTTATTTGCCAATTTCTTGCAATTTGGTTTCAAGTAAAACATAACGTTGACGGTATCTCGGGTACTGCGCCTACCTGATGGGCTCCTAGAAGGGCGAAAGCGGTCGTGGGCTGTAGAGAATTTTCCAGCAACCTAATGAGGAGTGCACGAGAAAATATATGTGTACCAAGATATCTCGAATATGGTAGCGACTGGAACATGGAACACATATTAGCAGTTTTGCTCCACAGACCGACATTTATGTTTATATTGGCATAGGCTTCAAAAATATGTTGCCTTTTGTAAAAAAAACTTGAAAACAACCACTCACTAACCCTGCTTGCAGTGTCAGTCTTGATCTCCGACATTTTGGCTTATTACCCAAGAAAACGCAAAATATTCTCAATCCTTTGCCAGAAAGATTCAAAGCCATCACTGAAGTATTTAAAGCGTATACCAAAGATTTTTACGGAGCCTAAAGCCTACTGTTCTCATACCTTTGCTGACATGGGTGCAAGTAAATGACGGATATTAAATTGTCCTAGTAAGCCATTCGTATGAAGATGGCTTTATCCTGCGTTGTTGTTGGACAACAGAGCCTGGATTCCATGATATTTTAGCGGCGCTTCCTAGGGTAAACTATCGGAAATCCAGTGATCGGTGAACCACTCCCCGTTATGTCGTTGAATATTCTCCCAGTCTATATTTTGCCATTGTTTTCAGAGGAATGGGTCAACATCTGACAGGTACAAAAAAACGTATGCGTTTCTCGGTGGTTTTACGTTTTTTCTGCCCACCAGCTCATTGACAGCTTATTCAGTAGATTTCCGGCTGGTTGCTTGTTTTCTTGGCCGTCAAGTAAGTGTTAAGACCGTGGTGTTATTCAGTTGAGGCACCATTGAAGTAAGGTGCCAAGCGCTCCGTCTTTCCGGGTAGACAGTGATTGTTAGCAATAAAATTACGTTGCACTGGAACTGATATCAAAAAGACGTGTCCAACTGAGTAGCTCACCGAATTGCGCAACGGTTGGCGTTTATTTCCCAAATAATTGCCGTTTGCGAGAACCAGTTTAGAACACTGACCGCACATCAACAGGCTGCATCAGAATGGTTCATTTTTTTCAATAACCGACCGCATTACTTTCTAGTCCAAACTCTGGTAAAGAATAATTGGATGAAGCCGGGAGTGCTCAAATTAAGATGGTTCACAAACACAGACGCAGCATGTGGCCTCACGAAACACCATCGGGTTTTGCAACGCACTTACTTTTGTGGGACAAATTAAATCTCAAATTTTATCTCGCGGTCTACGGCCCAGCCTGCGCAGCAACAAGGGGTCGCGAAACTCACAAGCAACTGGTTTCTTTTGTACGAGTCATTAAACGAGTCTGCGGAAGTTGATGTCAGAAAAATAAACAGGTTTTATTTCATCTAAACAATTATTCTATTCCACTGAGTAGTGCGTTTTCGGTAAGGAACACTAACGTGATTACGCATACGCGACAAATTTTACACCGAAACAAATTCCGTATATAGTCACGAATTTCTTAGGCTCATTTGCAAAAGGAACCTTCATTGAGCCTGTTACATCGACATAAATGGACGCAACATTGTGCTGTAATACAAATTCTGCCTTCAGAACGCGCAAAAACATTCCTTCCACATGTGCATACATGATTTTTTGCTTCACTGAGTGATCTGTGCAGATTTGTTTTAATTTTGATGGCGTGTCGGTGCGGAATTGTTTCCATATTCAGCTTTTTGGATAACCTTCGTTTCAAGGTTTCAACTTCTGCTAATTTTCCTTTTGGATCCAATTTCAATTCGCGTGCCCATGATCATGATATAGCGCAATCGTTCATACATTATTTTTTTCCGAGTTTACATCAAAGCCGCTTGAAAACAGAGGTGCTTCTTCCGAGTCTGCGGAAGTTGATGTCAGAAAAATAAACAGGTTTCTCACGTGAGAACGGACATGAGCTGCTGCAGGATGTCGCCATTTGAGCTTCTGCTTCCATGCATCTGACAAGAAATATTTGTCACTTCTTACAAAACATTTAGCCCATCTCATAACGTTTCTTGCGTCCTATCGCACTGTGCCATCAGTATCCATGCGTTTTCATGTTCTATGATTACAACCTATACCATATAACTAAGCTTTTTCAAAGTTTTTCCCAGACTACTGTTTATCCAGCAACTAAAAAGGGGTATTAGAAGTGATCCTCAGAAACCTAACTGGATCAAATCACAGCTCTACGGAGTATCCTGATTGAACTTGCAAACATGTCGGAACCATACCTAATGCTGACGTGCGTATTATTATATTAGTTTTCCAAAGTCCTGACTGCCACTTGGCAGTGAACGGTTCCCTCGCTAGGCACTTATTTACAAAGCAGGCGACATTCACTATAAAGTATCAAATACAAGTAAATCAGCAGCAATTTGTCATTTTCCATTGAGATGTCCAATTAGACCGACCCTAGTTGCGTCCATTCGATATGTGGCAACCGAGGAATGAGCGAGCACGCCAGAATTATCCCGGCTTCTGTGGTATGGAAAAGGGTGGCATGACACCAAATTTTTCATTAGGTTGTTGCCGTTGAAACTGCCACCCAGTTACTTAACTCGGAACCTCACACATATTAGTAACCAAAAACTTGGTATTGTTACGCTACACCAAAAGTGGTTTAACTTTCGACCTAGGTAGTCTGCTAACTTTGGACTAGAGCGTGCATCTGAGATAATTGGTACCTGTTTCAAATGAGTATCAAGGGAGATGAACTTTGATTACGGTAACTGGGTGAATACCTGCAGGATACAATCCCCTTTAAGTCTATCGTTTGGGTAACCTGGCTCTGTCAAGTTTGTAGAAAAAATGAAAAACCTGACCCATAAGATTTGCAAATAGAAGAACTTCAGGCGCCCTCAAAAATGGCGATGATTCATATTCAACATGGTGGCCTTTTTAAGGATCTCTCACCTGGAATTCGCTAACCTGCTATTATTTATAATTGCCGGTTTGCAGGTGGATAGGGGTGAATTGGAAATAATTGAATGATTAAATGCAACCTCTTTATCCGGGCTTTTTTTGCATTGCACCACGTATCTATGTTTACCCTGCAGTTGCGGTTCGGCACTTAATGCCAAGCGCCATACTCTCGTTTAGAGGTAGCATTTCCAAATAGTATATTCTGCATCATACCTTTTTCGAATTTTTACATCTAAAATCCACCTTTTCTTATCTCCCGTGTGGTCTTTTAATGAAAATATCTACCCAGTAGAAGTAACACGACAATGGCCACCACGTTCGATCATGCTGTTCACCGAGCATCATCTAGCAGTGTGAGTGCATTAGGGTTCGTTTTACATAAACGGCTGAACTAAGCTAACCAGCTTGAAATCAACGAGGTCAACTTTGAATCTACGAAATGAACTACTTGTATATGATGATCTTAGGTCACATCATCACCATCATCGACAGAATGTCATAAATGGTCAACGTCTACGCTTAAACGTAGGTCTAATAAAATTCGCGATTTACTATTGCCTAAGACGGTTGAACTTCCAACACAAAAATGTTTATTCATGAGCATTGCGGTGGTCCTCCCGGCGGATCAATTTTGCCTTTCAAATTTGTGGACTTGAGCAGCAAACCGGAAGCCCTGTGAGCACAAATGCAAGGCCAACCACATCTATTTGGTTCTATTTGTAATCATTCATTGCAAAATTGGTGCAATTTGCAAACTTCCTTATCACCATCATACATGTTATTGAAACATTTTTTAAATAAATTACAAACTACACAAACAACCTTGTATAACGGAAAACGAGACATTAAGAGCACACACATGGCGGGTGATATTTTGGGGCAATCGCAGATTGTGTGACGTAGAAACATTGCGAACTTGGTTAGTGCGCTGTGGTTGCAGAATTATACGGTCCAGTTACTTGCAAGGAATGACGGCGGCGGTATGTGTAGAAATATGCCTCACGAGAGCGACGAGCATTTCGGTGATGTAATGCGGCAGCCGCATTTTTACAGGTATCCTACAAAACCAAATTTTACTTTTTCTAACAGATTGTTCAAAAATATTGGGCAGTATATTCAATCAATATGGAAAACGGTGCATAGGGTGTGTAACAATTTCCAGCAATTATTTAATGAGGATGAATTGATACCGTTCTTGTGGTACAGCGCTACTAATAACTATGGGTAACATGAGAGAAAATTTGCAAACTGTCCATTGTGGTTTTCGGGATTAGTTGGAGCCCTAAATTTCACGCTGAACATGAGAGAAATTCTGTAAACTGTCCATTTTGAGATTCCTTGGAGCCCTAACTTTTACGCTACTAGTGTCTTATATAGCCACGGCTGAAGGGAAGCGAAATAATTTCCAAAATATATATTGGTGTTAGTCTGCTAAATTATCTAAGAACATCTACTAAAATTCAAAAAAATATTCTGTTTAAGAACAAAGTGAAACTTAGATGCTAAAGCATATCGGATGGAAAAGAACAAGGGTA